TAACAAGAGGTTCCTGTAGAGTACTACAGATGTTTAGGATGTGAAATACCTACCCTAGGCATAACCAACCCCCGAACCTTTAGATCTCCCACTGCTTAGCTTTAAGCCTTGCTTTTTGCTTTGCATTTTTATAGGTTTTTCTTTCTTTAAACCTTTCCTTTTTGGATAAATTAAAGTCCGGTTGTGAATTGTAAGAATTAAGATTCAAGTTAATCAATAGCTTGGCATCACGATTCTCACCGCAACATAAGGCAACACATTAAAAACCTTTTTCACAACTTTTGCCTGTGGTAATTGATTACCAGTATTAAGGTAATCAATTATCCTATGCGCTTTTGTGAAAATTTGCCAAATTCAAATTCTGCAGCATTTTTGGCACCAAATTCAAATATTTCATCATGAGAGTATTCTAGATCACTTTAATTCCCCTACCTCATCATAATTGATTCCCGCCATACACCTTCTCTAATCACCACTTGATCTTGAAAATGATCATTCGTGGCTTAAACTTATGTTTGAAAGTCCAAATATGGTTGATTATTTGTCTTAGGTCCATTACCTATGAAACTTGTTGTTAGAAGGCTTTGATTTTATCAATCCTCCAATGAGTCTTCATTAACTTTACTTAAGTGCATCATTTAACCATCGTTGATAATTTGTTCTAACAACTAATCACTAACTCACTAACAATATCATTATACTAATTTTATTTATGTTTCTTTCTCGCTCCCTATCTCTCTTTTATTTTTATGCTCCACTATTATCATCTCATATCATATTTTTGTTTATGCTTCCACTCTTTTTTTTTTCTTTTGTCCACTTGGACCATATCTTGTTTAAAACACTAATAAAAGATTAAACCTCTAAAAAAACTTGGTGCTCTTAATTTTATGGTTATGCTCATGGATGGACTTAGACCTTAGACCTCTTGGACTATTCTTGGACCCTTGCACTTAGAATTAAGTCTATTTCCCTATGATTGGAGTATTATGGATCTTTGCCTTTCTCATTTGTTTATGCTTCAAGACAGATGGAATTCTTATTTCGCTTGCTATGGAGTTTGCTATCTTTTGGTTAGATATTTCTTATCTCTAGATTTTATTTTGCTTTCTAGGGTAGTCACTTCATCTCCTCCCCTTCTTAAATTTTCAAAATCTTCTCCCTTTTTCAAAAACCTTCTTGTTTTCAAACTTAAAACCGCTTTCACAATAAAACATTGACTTTTATCAAGTGATTTTCAAACTCTGTTTTCTTTAATAAATGTCAATCAATGTTAATCATACTTTGACTAATTTCAAAAAGATATAAAAAACACTTCACCTCATTCAAACTTTTTGTGCCTTCGTGCACTTTTTCATTTAAAACTTTTCATAAAGTTTAGACACGAGTCATTTTCATAGTTGAGATGTAATTCTCCTATTCCCCATAGTATTTAAGATGTTGACATTTTCCACTTAGATGTTGAGTGATAGACTTGTTGATGTTAATCCAAGCAAAATCCTCCATCTTTAGGTGATGCAAATGTTGTCTTATGCTCATGGGTGACTAGTCGTACTTTTCTCCTTAAAATGATGATTTGTCTTTACATTTAAAAATAAATCATAACCAACAATTTTTTTATTATTTGTACCACGAACTACGGATTTTTGATCCTATATTGCACTTTGCGGGTACGTAGGCATGAGGCGATAAGTCTTTCCAAACACAAAAATCTTCAAAATATTTCTCTTCTCATCTCCCCAATCACTTTTCAAACAAACCTTTTCAAACCAAAAAGTGTAGATATTTAAAAGAGGTTCCTATAGAGTACTATAGAGGTTTTGGGTGCTAACACCTTTCCATCGTGTAACCAACACCCTTACTCAGTCTCTGTTTATCTGTTCATGTTTTAGAACTCTTTATATTTTGTTCGCTTTTTTTCCTTTCCTTTTGGATAAAATAAAAGTGTGGTGGCGACTCTTGCATTTTGAGTTAAGTTAATCAATAACTTACACTTACAAATTTCCTTGCCACACTCTCCACCACCATCAGTCCTCAGAATTTTCAGCTTTCAACCACTTTGTCTTTCGACCATATATTTGAGTCTGGAAAATACCTCGATCCATTCACTTTTCTTCTTGATGAGGTAAGTCCATAGTTTTCGACTGTAATTATCTATGAACGTGACAAAGTATATGTTGTCTGCAATCAAATCCACCTGGATTGGACCACATACATCAGAGTATATGACTTCCAAAATTGCCTTCGACTTCCTTCCTGCATCCTTGTTGAACCTATTCTTGTGTTGTTTTGACTGAACACACTCTTGAAAGACTTTACTTGGAATGTTGATTTTAGGTAATCCTGAAGCCATATTTCTTCTCTTTAACTCTCTGATGTCATTGAAGTTAAGACGACCTAGTAAAAATGCCATAACCACTCATCTCTGCTGGTTGCAGTTGTTAGGAAGTTGTGCTCCATCACATTGAGTTCAATCTTGAAGGTCCTATTCTGAGACATTGGAGCCTTCAAGATCAACCTACCACCTGCGTCGAGAACTCTCATCGTCTTGTCTTTGATCGACATCTTGTAGTTCTTTTTGACTAGCTACCCTATACAGAGGAAATTACTTTTCATGCCTGGTATGTACAACACATTGAAAATTGTTGATCTCTTGCCATCTTTTCTCATAATCAAAAAATTGTCAATACCTTCAGCTGCTACAGTATTGTCATTTGCAAATTTCACCATGTTCTTCGACGAGGGCTTCATGTTGACAAACCAATATTTCCTTCCAGTCATGTGTGATGAGCATCCCGAGTCCAAGTACCACTGGTCCTGGAATCTCTCTTCGTCTCTTGTTGTGACCATTAGCAATATCTCTTCTTCTTCATGCTTCGCCATCTTTGGATCAGTTTCTTGACTCTTTTTCTTTTCTCGACATTCACTAAAATAGTGACCATACTTCTGACAATTGAAACACTGAATGTGACTTTTTTCAGGCTTTCCTCCACCACCTATTCCTCTACCTGCATACCACCTCTTTGGTTGCCTTGGTTCCAGGGTTTTCTTTGATTCGGCTAGTTGTCTTCCTGCTGATTTCAATCAATTGAATTGTTGTAGCCTCTTCTACCTTTGTTGTCATTCCAACTTCCTTTGTCTTTCCTTTTCTTTTATGACTGCGCCTGCAAAGCCATATCACTCTTCGACTTTCTTACAAGTCTCTCAATCATCCTTTGTTCATGAGACTCAAGCGTCCCTTGAAGCTCTTTCTTCGTCAATGTCGAAAAGTTTTTCGACTCTTATATGGCTACTACCACGTGGTCGAACTTTGGAGCCAACGACCTCAAGATCTTTGCAACAACTGATCTTGATGTCAACACTTTTCCACATACATTGATTTGATTCACCAGCTTTGTAACTCTAGTGAAGAAATCTGTTATACTTTCACTTTCTTCCATCTAAAGCAATTCATAGGTTCTCTTGTGAGTTTGTAACCTCACCTCTTTCACCTTTTCTGCGCCTCTAAATGACTTTTCAAGAATCTCCCACGCTTCCTTTGCTGATTCTACATCACCAACCTTTTCAAAAATATCTGGATCTACACATTGATGGATTATAAAGAGAGCTTTATAATCTTTCTTCTTCAATTCTTTGAATGCCACCTTTTCTTGATCCATCGCGTTTTCTGCAAGCGGTGTTACTCCTCCCTTCACAAGATCCCAAAGATCTTGATAACAGAAAACCACCTTAATCTGCTTGCACCAACTCTCATAGTTATCTTTATTGAGAATTGGAAGATTCGCCGGAAAGTGCCTGCTTGAATGATTCATCGTCATCACGATTTTCCTTTCTTGAATCGTAACTAGAGCTTTGATATCAGATGTTGGAAATTCAACCACAACCTATGGAAAATTCCACTCAATTAATCTTAATCTCAAGATTATTCTCACTCACGTAATGACGATGAAAAGATTTAGAAAGAAAGAAAGTAAACGTCGAAGAAGAAGAAAATGAACAATTTTCTGCAGAGAACTCTCTGCCCACAAACTGTGAAAATTTTGTTATTTCACTTGCAACTGCAAACTGTGAATTACAAAATATGATGAGTTGTTTACAAAATAAGGGTTTCTCCCTATTTATAGATTTAGGTTAGCTTACACCCCAAGTCAAAGTACAAAACTATAAAAACTCAAAATAGTTAACATTATTAAAATAGGTCTAAGTCAAAATCATGTGTGAAGCAACCTGCTTCGACAGTTCTACACACTAAGCAACTCGAGACACTAACAGATTAAGTTAATTTGACTAATCCTTATTTCTGTCAAACTACACTACTTTCGATACAAGAAATTATAAACTCAACATATGAATATTTAAAAAACATAATTGAATATTTTAAATAATTAAAAAGTGAGTATTTTAAATCATTAAAAATTGTAAAATAATATATAAAAATAAGCATGGATTCATTTAAAGAACTCAAACAAGTCTAATAAATGTGGATGCTCTAACTTTCTCCATTCATAATCATTCTTGTTGTCCATTTGACTAAAACTTACATAACTTACAATAATTTTAATGGAATTAAAAAATATTTAACCTTAGTATTAATTATAGAGCAATTGTAAAAAATAGAAAAAAACTATACTAAAAAATAAAAAAGACTTTTTTTTTTTCTAATTTGACTTTTAACATAGAGATAATATATTTTGAAAAGAAACATACATGCTCTAATGTTCAATAAAGAGTAACAGCCCTTCTCTAATAATAAGAGTATCACACTCATATATCTCTTAATCATGAGTTATTCTCAACTTTACATAATCAAAATTTGAATCATTGGTGGCAAAAACAAAAACTAGTATTGTAGTTGAAGTGGGACCATACTCTTAAATGTAAAATGTTTAAATAAGGAGACACGTAAATAAATTCACCGTCGGTTTCTCCAAAACATTTGTTTCAGCTCTTTGATCATCATTTCCCCCTCTCTTTCTCTTGAAGCCAGAGACACACACACCATGGTTGCAGAGGTAATAATAATTCCATCCTTGACTTTTCTTTTTCACACTTTCTTTTGCCATATTCTCCATCACTATTCTCTTGTTTTGTCAATGAAAGATTAAGAAATTTTTGTGTCTGTTGTTTAATGCTATTGATACATAAATGTCAATTTTCTTGAACTACCATAGTGTTTAAAGTGGAAAGAAAATTAATCTTTTCATTTATTTTTATCTATAAGAATAATCGGTTAAATATGTGAGACACAGATCCTAGATGATTGTTAGTATTGCATGCTAGATTTTAGGAAATGTTAACATTAATATGATTTTTGTAATATTTTTCAATGACCGACATAAAAGAAAATATCTCATTAGTGTTATGATTTGTTAGGATCATAATAATAATAATAGTACTAGTTGTTGTTAAATCAGTAATCAAATGATTTGACATTAGTTCTATGAATGTAAATTCACATCTCAATCCCAATAATATCAACATGTCCTTTTTCTTATTGTACTGCAAAAATGGGTGAAAATAACAATGGTCCCCTATCTAGATGTTCATTATTTGAAAATTTTGGTTTTGGTAGTTCGGTTGATGATTGATAGTTTATAACTGATGACCGATAATTTATAGTTTATCGCTGATAAACTAGCTGATAATTGATAGTTGATAGTTTATAGCATATGTTTATAGTAGATGACAATGACAGTATTCTGAGTGTTTTGTGTTTTGATAAAAAATTTACTGTCATGTCAGAATGAAGAAATGGTTACTGGATGGCCACTTGGACTTAGCTTCTTGAATACGAGACTCAGAGTTGTGGAATCGCTTCCAGCAGCAGCTTCTTCTTCTTCGGTGGAACCACCATACCAATTGCACATACCATCTACCAGCTTCTCTTCATTTTCAACCTCTAATCTTGATACGGAGGTTTGGTTTTCTTTTTCCTTTCTCAGTTAAAAATATGAAATTGCTCGAGAAACTTTTGTCGGCTGATTACGGTTTATTCTGTTGCAACAACCAGTCTACAGCGTCTTTCTTCCAAGACAGAAGTGTGTCACTTGCACAGCTGATTGGGTTCAGGACAGATGAGAGAGGACGGCTGTATTTCCCCAAGTCGTTAAGGTTTGAAGAAAGGAACAGGATACGAGAAAATGGTTCTTGTTCGAATGGCAGCAAAGTACAAGAAAAGGATGTTTCTAAGGTTATTTGCATACCTGTACTGATTGATGCACTGCTAAAGATTATAAGGAGTAAGAAGAGTTCAAGAAACTAGGATGTGATTTATTAACACGTT